GTAACCAAATATTCACATTTTGGCTTCTATCTCTTTAGAGGTTAGGAATTTATGATTGAAACTTATCGTCAAAATATAGATCTGGTGACGCGCTATAGAAAAGGTCATTAGGAGTCTAAAGATATTTTGAGCTCTTTTGCAGTTATCAGCTTTTTAAACTTAACTTTCCTTATTTTGCTTCGGTCCCTTTAATGGTTAGGAATTCTTTATGCAACCTACACCGCAAACGACAGCTCCTGAGATTACCAATCAAAAAGCTCCCAACGGCTGATAAGCTATTTCCAGCCATTTCTGAGATATATGTGTTTTAAACCGCATGGGCCAAAAAAAGTTTGCTTCTATCTCTTTAGAGGTTAGGAGTTTCTGCCCAAACCTCAACATCAAAGCACACATTTCAGTACTTTTAACTTAAGATATTCTGATTTCTGAAATTGTTTCGCATAAATGAGTTTGCAACCTTTTCGATCCTCTATGGGGGCGAAGCCCTATTTCGATGTTCAGCTTTAACGGCTCCAAATTGAGATCTTTACTATTAATTACTTAATATTACTATTTGAAAAAACTGCTTGGAACTTGAAAATTTCCAGCGGTTTTCCATTACATTATTGGTTCGTGGAGTTTCCGTTCAAAAAATCGCGAAATCGTGAGCCAATCCAAGTAAAAAACTCATTAAATAAATGGTAGTTTTAAGTTAAAAACAACACAACTGATGGAAGGACAGCGCAAAAAAGAACGGCAATTTAAACAGCTTTAAACTGGCGCATAAGGAGAGTTAACAGGTTCTGATTGAGATTTTTATTTCGGAAATAGACACAAAATAAAGCGATAAATACAAAGATCAAATAGTAAAATCATCAAACTGGACGTGGCTCATTAAAGGAATTTCCCAGAGTAAATCTGAGATAACCGGCGAAAAAACGCAAGTAGACTGCTGACAGCAATTAGTGAAAGTACTAATATCGTAAACTTATTGGCCGTTTAAATGGCGGTAATTAAGGCAAAAACAACCGAAAACGCGTTGAATTGCTGGTTGGAACTGCGCAACCCAATTAGTATTCATAATTCAGCAAAATGAGCTAAAAGGCGAAAAAAAACTACATCACTTACACGATAATTAGCAAGATTTATCCAGTGCACAAATGGGTTGACGCGGCGCTCAAACCGCACTAATTACGTATAAAATTATCGAAACGAACGCACGGAAAGCTGCTTATTCCTTCGCGTCTAAATTCCAACTAAAATATTTGACCATTGAGAGGCTGAAACGAATTTTATGTCTACAATCTAAGCCGAAGGTTATTATCAACTCGGAGATTCTCAAGAATGGAAAACCTCGGACCTCGATGAGGATCTGCCCCTTAATTGAATCTCTCCCATACTAGTGGCCTTTGATTTATTTCTTTTTTCCGATCGTTAATTATCGATTTCTTCGGCCATTTCACCATCATCATATGCTAAATTAAAAACGTTTTCAAATCGGGTTATGTAATTGATATTATAAGATGAATATCAGGCGGTACAGGTGCAGTCTTTCAGACAATAATTAGGCTATTTAATTACAATTGCAAGCACAATCGGTGGGTTTTGGGTCCCCAAAAAACCCACCGATTGTGCTTGCAATTGTAATTAAATAGCCTAATTATTGTCTGAAAGACTGCACCTGTACCGCCTGATATTCATCTTATAATATCAATTACATAAACTTTTCTTAAGACGTCGTCTATAGGATTTTGGTCCTGACGTTTCACTAGCATGTACGATTCCTCATCAGAGATGTAATGTTGCGAAACGTCAGGACCAAACACCTCGAATATCACAAAATTGGTCAATGGTTTCAAAATAATTTTACTTGTAAGTGACTATTCAGTTATTGAAAATTGGCTCAATTTTTTTTTCTAAATTCATAGCTCAAAACTGAAATATTTTTAGCCGCGTAGGTATCAAGTTCGAACGTAGCAGCGCACATTATCAGGCAGCGCTCATAGATTCATTATGTGTGCGAGTGAGAGAACCGATGCAAGCTAGGTTCTGGATTGACCAGCCATGTGATGATAGAACTGACTTGATGAATGACTAAACTTGATGAATTTGGCAAAACCACTTGATAAGTGGGTCAAAGTAATCGGATTATTGTGCGACCTTTTCTTCATTTGAGTGTGAATTTTTCTCTTTTAGGCTCAGTCAACTAGAATTAAAACACTGAGCTTCTTACGTTGCTGTATACTGGAGGTGGTAAAGAGTGGAAGGTGTTTTGCGTCTTAACTGAACGAAAAATAACGTTAATGAGGCCCACACATAGTGAAGAATTGGCATATTATTCGCGACGTTTTCCTGAAGCATCATGTGGGTTGATTTGATCGAAATTGCCTTGATTCTCTGTTGCGTATTAAGCGATTCGAGTGGGCTTCATTGATGAAGTGACAAATAAATATTATTGTACAAATGCATACAGGGTGATTCAGAATTGGCGTCATTCCTTTTAAGGGGGTGACTTGAAGACTGGCAAATGAAGATAAAATTTTCATTTTATTTCTCGAAGAAGAAGGAGAAGGAGCAGCAGAACCACAAACCCACTGAAAGCAGAGTTTTCTCAATCTCAAAGTTTGTACAGTTTGTACGAATGACCCAATTGGCGTCCGTTCTCGCATATGAAGAATAAATGAAAATTAAAATAGTGAAATGTACCTTTGGTGTTTATGAGAAAAATGAGTCCAAAGACGAAACTTAGTACACAAACAAGAAAAAACAGCATCACTTACAGGTTCGTGAATGTAAAATCCACTGCACCTCGAAGCCGCGGTTTTTGAACCCGCGTCCTACAATCGAAACGTTTAAAACTAACTCTAATTACGTATAAAGTAATCGAACCGACGCACTCGAGCTGTTTAATCCTTCACGTCTATATCCCGACTGAAATATTTGACCATTGAGAACCTGAAATGAATTTTATGTCTACAATCTAAGTTGAAGGTTATTATCAACTTCATTTTACATCCACAGAGAGGTCTGTCTCCTTTCATTTATTTATAGAGGCATTTCGAGCTGCAGCTCACAATTGCAAGCAATTTATTAATGAATATTAGCAATTACAGTGGACCATTCTTTCCTGCGAGCCTACCACACTCTTTCGCTATTTTTGCTTTATTTTGCCGTCCTTCGATCTCTCGTATACGGCGAAGAAATTGTAATTAAGGGTATACATACTCTCGGTGTCTTTTTTTAATTAAATATCGCTGCCAATTATTGGAAGTCGCGGATACTTTCTGCTCTACCGTACGTAGACAATGACACTATTCATCATCAGGGTTTGTCTTCGACTCGAATGTCTCAGCAACCAAACTCGCCAAAATTGTTCTTGCGTCTTAACTTCTTCCTTAACTTCTTAAGCTAACCTGCTATCAGCTCTAGATTTTGAGGAATTAAATATTTAATGCAGTGCCACAAGGTGGGAACACGTGTTTTGGAGGATAGTTCGCCAGCAGAGCAGAGCAAAATTCGCCAAAAATTCCTCAAACATCTCCTCATAATTTCAGTTGCTGTGCTACTAGCCTTAAATAAATGTCCTCAACCACGTAAAGTTTTTTGCAGCCTTTAAAATATTTTATATTTTGAAGAATTAGTTCTTGAATCKAAAGCCACAAGCTAAAAGCCGTTTTKGGAAASTTATTTTCAAAATTCGCAAAAAAAACATCTCTTTATGACTTTAATTGCTGTCGTCGTTGCCTCAAATGCCCTTAATTGAATAAAATTTAACGCAACATTCTACATGTCCTAAATTTTGAGAAATTAATTATTGAATGCAACGTCACCAGCGAAGTTCACATTTTTTGGGGACGTTACTTTAAAAAATCGTCAAAAAATCTGCAAACCTAAGTTGCTGTCTTCATTGCCTCAAATGTCCTCAATTGAATAAAAGTTTGCGCAACTTTCTACATGTTCTAAATTTTGAGGAAATAATTATTGAGTCCAAAGTCCCAAGTGAGAATCACACTTTTTGGGGACGTTATTTTCAAAATTCGTCAAAAAATGCGCAAACATCTCTTCAAAACCTTAGTTGCCCTCTTAATAACCTCAAATGTCCTCCATTGAGTGATGTGAAGCACAGGCTTCCACCTGCCCTAGATTTTGAGCAACGCGTTATTGGATCCAGAGCCACACGCTAAAAACAACTGGGAAAACTGTATTTTAAAAATTCGCCCAGAATCGCTCAAAGACATTCCCAAAAGAATTTTTGCTGCCTTAGTAGCCTCAAACGTCCTCTTTACAATGAAATTGTAAATTGCACGTAAGCTTCTGCAACGCCCAGATTTTGTGAAATTAATTACTGAATCTGAGAGCACACGTTAAAACTACGCCCTTTTTAAGGGTACGCTATTTGATTATTCCTTTAAATCTCTCAATTGACTATTTGTTCCTCAAAGTCTTATTTGCGGTTTTAGCAGCCTTAAATGTCCCCTATCAGATGATGTTTCGTGCAACTGTCTTCCTACGCTACATGTCGGGAAAATAATCGTTTAGTCCAAAGCAACAAGTTTTTAGGAAACGTTTTTTTTTTCAAAAATTTGCCAAAAATCCCTCGAGCAAATCTTCAGGCCATTATTTTCTGAGTTATTAGCCCCAACAAGCCTCTATTGATCAAAGTTACCCGTAAGCTTCTACCTGCCCTAGATTTTGGGGAAATAACTATTGAATCTGAGAGCAGTACTACGTAAGTATAAAAATGAGACCTCTTTTCAGGTTGCTTTCAGCTAAAATCGATGCTTCAAAAAGTCAAATATAATAGCAACAATATCTTCAGTGACGAGCTAAGAAAGGTTAATCCAATTAGCTATTAAGTTGGTTATTAATTCAAAGCTGTTATGTCGCAGCACAAGTTTCAACATTTGAACTGAAGTTCAAACGCTCCGCGACTGAAAAGTATTAGATGATTAATTGTAATTTACAAATGTTAGACAGCTGTTTAATCGTTAGAGGCATTAGAGCTAGAATAGAGTCCGTACCGATTCTTTTAACGTGAACGTCCCGATTAAAGGACACCCTCGGTCTTTGAGAGGCGTCCGACCGGTTAGAGTCGGATCGGAAGACCTCTGCACTCGGCATTTCGCTCTGATTCAATCATTGACGTATCATCGCTCTTCCTGCATTGTATCGTCCAGTGTCTGAAAGGTCAAACTGCTTTGGTCATTTCATCGGAAGTTTTCAAAGCTGTTAAACTGAAGCTTTACGAGTTTTCTCTTTGCGTTTTCAACTTCCGACGTTAAACTTCAGCTAATGATCATGTTATTAGTATGGATGGTTTATGGGCGTTAAGATGATTTATAAATCAGCAAAGTTTCCAATCAGACCCAGAGTGACAAATTGCATATATTTTCTTCATAAAATCTTCAATATTACAAGGTTGATGACTTGAAAATGTTTCTATCTCGTCCATCAGACGCTCTGATTACGGGAGTAAATCCGAAAAAAATTATTCGTTTAATGAATCTAAAATGGTTCGCGTGCTGAATGTGAAGCGGTACCATTGTTCGGTTCGGCTCGATATCTACGTTAAAGTGGTCGTGAAAACGGTGTGGGTTACTTAAAATTCACAAAAATTAAAAATGTATTATTTTTACTACGGTTTTCCGCTTCTATGCTGAAATAGTCGGGGGTGGTTTTGGTCAAAACGTGTCGAAATTTTCATTATTTATGTCCTTCTGCAGACCACATGAGCAGCTTTTAAAAACTCCCATTGACCGGCATGGAAAATTGGACATTTTGTCAAACCCGCTCTTAGTAATTTCTGGAGATTTAGAGCGCCGTTAGAGTCAATATGTGCAATTGAATACTGCTGGATAGGGAGTTAAAATGCGCATTTTTTTCCATATAAAAACGAACATTTCTAAAACAGTCCGAGCTAGAAAGCCGAGTTGTATACTCCTAGATAGACAATATAAGGGTGCATTTGTGCATATAACACCTGAAACCAGAAGCCTGTTTAGCTGAAAAAGTATATTTTTTAAACCCGCCCTTGATTTTATCGGATTTTTTCAGAATCGTTTGAGTTACAAAACACAGTTTAGTATTCTTGGACAGACAGTTAAGTGAACATTTTTTAATATTGAATGTGAAACAAACATTTTGCGAGTTTCCTATACGGAAATTTTATTAAGAAAATTGATTATTTTATCGAGCGCGCTCTTAATATTTTCTGGATATTTTCCAAACCCGTAGAGCTTCAAAGCTCTGTTTAATACTCGTGGATAGAGAGGTAAGTGCGTATTTATTCATGTGAAAATCACAACAGCCTTTTGTGTTAATCAGGAAAAAAACATTTTTCAAGTTTTTAAACCCGCGCCCCATTTTATTCGATATTTCCAGAACAATCAAAGCCGGAAAGCTGTGCTGGATTCATTTGAATCCACAGTTTACGTCCTCATTTCTCTTATGAAAAGCTCAAACGTGAAGCTTGAACTTTTCCAGAAAAACTATTATGAAGAAACAGCGAATTTTTCTTAACCCACTCTGATTATTTTTAGGATATTTTCGGAACCGTTCGAGAGAGTTTGAATGCGCATTTTTTTAAATAACCCCCCAGAGTTCGGGAATACAAATTATGAAAGAAACTGCCCATTTTTCCAAACCCGCTTGAGCCAACAAGTTCAGTCAGACACTCTTGGATAGAGAATGAAACGTTTCAGCTTTTCAAAAGTTGGCTCAAAAAATCAATTTATGTGTAAAATCTACAACACAATATATATTTTCTTAGAAACAAAAAATTTCTAAAACAGCCAGAGCTAGAAAGCTCTTCGAGTTACGAAACTCAGTTTAATACTCTTGGACAGACAGTTTCGGTGCGTATTTTTTAATATTGAATGTGAAACAAACATTTTGCGAGTTTTCTATACGGCAACTTTATTAAGGAAACTGATTATTTTATAGAGCGCACTCTTAATATTTTCCGGATATATGCCGAACCCTTAGAGCTTCAAAGCTGACTTTAAAACACGTGGATAGAGAGGTGAGTGCGCATTTATTCATGTGAAAATCACAACAGCCTTTTGAGTTAATCAAAAAAAAATACTTTTCAAGTTTTTAAACCCGCGTCCCATTTTTTCGGTATTTCCAGAACAATCAGAGCTAGAAAGCTGTGCTGGATTCATTTGGATCCACAGTTTAGGTCCTCATTTCTCTTATGAAGCGCCAAACGTGAAGCTAGACTACTTTTCCAGAAAAACTACTATGAAGAAACAGTGAATTTTTCTTGACCCACTCTGAATATTTTTAGGATATTTTCGGCACCGTTAGAGAGAGTATGAGTGCGCATTTTTGTAAATAACCGCCCAGAGTTCGGGAATACAAATTATGAAARAAACTGCCTATTTTTCCAAACCAGCTTGAGCCAAAAAGTTCAGTCAGACACTCCCGGATAGAGAATGAAATGTTTCAGCTTTTCAAAAATTGGCTCATAAAAATCCATTTGCGTGTAAAATCTACAACACAATATAGATTATCTGAGAACCAAAAAATTTCTAAAACAGCCAGAGCTAGAAAGCTCTTCGAGTTACGAAACTCAGTTTAATACTCGTGGACAGACAGTTTCGGTGCGTATTTTTTTATGTTGAATGTGAAACAAAAATTTTGCGAGTTTTCTATACGGCAACTTTATTAAGGAAATTGATTATTTTATCGAGCGCGCTCTTAATATTCTCCGGATATATGCCGAACCCTTAGAGCTTCAAATCTCACTTTAAAACACGTGGATAGAGAGGTGAGTGCGCATTTATTCATGTGAAAATCACAACAGCCTTTTGCGTTAATCCAAAAAAAATATTTTTCAAGTTTTTAAACCCGCGACCCATTTTTTTCGGTATTTCCAGAACAATCAGAGCTAGAAAGCTGTGCTGGATTCACTTGGATCCACAGTTTACGTCCTCATTTCTCTTATGAAACGCCAAACGTGAAGATAGACTACTTTTCCAGAAAAACTACTATGAAGAAACAGTGAATTTTTCTTAACCCACTCTGAATATTTTTCGAATATTTCCAGAACTGTTTAAGCCAAAAAGTTCAGTAGGACACTCCTGGATAGAGAGTGAAATGTTTCAGCTTTTCAAGGCTTGGCTCATAAATATAAATTTGTGTGTAATAAACACAACACAATGTAGATTTGTGTAGAACCAAAAAAACCATTTAAAACCAAAAAACGGAGGTTCTTTATTTGTAGTTTTGAGGAGCGCACTTTAAAACGTAACCACCAATGCGCTGTAGCGCTGACAAGTTCGGCGTGGATGCATGATTTTTCAGCAAAAAATGATAGAATCGTTTCGCAAATTTTGTAATTTCTATCTGAACTAACCGTGCGCCAAATCCACCATTGAACTACTTTAAAGTATTGCCTAATAGGAAAACTGTAAGGGGCAGTTTCAAGAGCAAATATCTTGCTTGTAAATGGCCCTGTTTGTTGTTATTGGCGCAGTAGAAAGTACACAGGCGATTTTTTCGGGTTACATTAAACAATATCCTCTTTATGATCTAACTTACGAGATACTTTCAATTTTGGAAACCAGTTTTCAGATACCGGATTGGTGTATCGACCTAGTTTATTAAATGATATTACGCCAGTTATATAATCGAGCTCGCCTTTCGTTTAAGACAAACGAATCGGTTTGCACTGTTTACATTTTGGAATGCGTTCATTCAATAGTAATTCGGCATTTAACGTTAAATGTTGCGGTTGGTTTTGGTTGAGAACAAAGTGCGAGTGGATCAGTCTGCAAGCGGCTGCAAAACGGCCTTAGAGAGCAAAGATTTGAAGTAAACAACATATAATTTTCTTATGAGTCTAGCCGCAAACCTTGTTAGCATGACCCATCCAACGATGACTGACACATTCCTCAATCTGAAAAGACAGTTTAATTTGAAAAGTATGTCTTATTTATAAGGCTGTATGGAAATGGCGGCAACATTCTCCGCTTTTAACGACTGGCACCATAATAATGATTAAACTAATGAAAATATATAACGTCCACCACATTCCAATTAGAATAATAATAACCTGCCACCTAAAACAAAGTCGTATGCTTCTATAAGGCCACTAAGTACGGGAAAAATCCTTTTTATTCACAGCGAGAGTGGCCTTTGGAAGGAATTTTCGCCGCGTGAGCTTTTTAATCGCATTGAACTAGCAGGTAGTAGGTAGGCATCTACTGGTGAAATATTATTAATAGTTGCGTTTTTTCCCGTTTGGAAAACCCGCAATTAATCGAGAAATTTCTACGAATGTGAACGTAAAACACGCGAGTTGGCAATTCTTTGAAACCTCCTGTTTTGTACCATCCAGTGCACAGTTTTCACGAGAACTTGCAGAATGCGTGGTTTTGGCCCGCTTTCCCTTTAACGTCCATCTTCTGTGTGGGGTTTTGTCAAATTTTCGATTTATTTAAATGTGGTAGAAGAATTTTTCTAAATTCGCTGTTTTCTCCCGAGCAGTATTGTGCAGGTTTGCCTTCAACATCGCAGAACCTTTGAACCAATAAAGTTAGACAATTGCGCTTTCCTATGCTAAGTTGCAAGCAGTTGCTGCTATTAGTGCCAGAAGTATGAAATCGCCATCAACATCAACGAATTTTCTAGAATTTTTCAAAACTGACTAATTTTTCAAAAGCTGGTTCGTACAAGTTGGTCTTCTACAAATCATAACTTTTATACGAGCAGAGTCAGAAGCCTGCGCGTTTCTGCGCTAGATCGATAAAAGCGATTGCCATCAATGGCTAGCAATTTTGAATTGACACCAACATCAAAAAAACTTTGAGAATTTTGAAAAATTTCATAATTTTTTTTGTACAAGTATGCTCTCCACCGCATGACTTTTGACCTAACAGAGTTTGAAACCTGCACTTTTCTGGGCTAAATAGAGAAGAACAGCGGCAATTAGCGCCAGAAGACGTGGGACTAGCATCAAGAAATTTTTGAGAATTTTTCAAAATTAACTAATTTATCAAAGGCAGTTTTGTTCAAGTTTGCCTTTCACATATCGTAACTTTTGAACCGATAGAGGTAGAAACTTGTGCCTTGCTGCCGTTTATTCAGCAATGTTTCTTTTATGAAAGACGGTAGTTTCAAATTTTCGTCAAATACACAGATGTTTTGAAAAATTTTCAAATTTTATTGATTTTCCAAAAGTAGAATTGGAGAAGTTAGTCTTCCAAAGTTCATAACTTTTGAACAAACGGAGCTACAAAAGTGTGTGTTGGTCAGGTTGTTAGACCAAAGTCGCTTGCACTAAGGTCAAAAGTTTTCCATTTGCGCCATTATCAAGAAATTTTTGAGTATTTTTCCAAATTTGCTTGATTTTTCCAACACGCGATTGTCTAAGTCCATCTTCTGGACTGAATAACTTTTAAACCGATAGAGATAGAAACTTGT